GAGAGAGAGAGATCGAAGGGGGGGAGAGAGAGAGAGATCGAAGGGGGTGAGAGAGAGAGAGATCGAAGGGGGTGAGAGAGACAGTGAGAGAGATAAAGGGGGGGTGAAAGCAAGAGACAGAAGGGGACAGAGAAGTGGGGGAGTGACAGAAAGAAGGGGGAAGAGAGACAGAAGAGGAGAGAGTGGGGTGGGAGGGGGGTGGAGACAGAGAGAGAAAGGATTATGTAACTGCAACAAAAAGTACCCACACCTACCATTTGTGCTACAGAATGACTAATGGTTTGGTTTCATTATCTTCAGGGATTAAGAATAAATTTAAATATCGTTTACTTTGGAAGATCTATGAAATGCCATTTAATACATGAAATGATAGATTGATTGTCAAATGTTCACTTGGCCTTTGTGTATCCTTACATAAACCTCCACAGCATTCTATTACTTTGATGATTCACAGAGAGGCTATCCTGAGCATTCAGTTCCATTAATATAGCACATCACACCCATTCCCAACAATGGGAACACACCCAGTAGTGGAGAAGTCCAGAACCAGAGGTCAGAGTAGGTCATTAGGACATGAGGTGAGGAGAAGTCTTTTCACCAAGAGAGCAGTGAGCCTGGGGAGTTTGCTACCACAGACAGTAGCTGAAGCCAAAGCATTCTCTTTACACATCCACCTCCCCCATCAGGATGGTCTTGAGGGTCTTCACTTCTTCCTGGAAAAAAAGCCTGAACTGCACCCATTCACCATCGCCCTCACCCACATAGCTGCGCTCATCCTCATTTTGAACAACTCCTCCCTTAATTCCTCTCACTTTCTACAGATCAAAGCTGTGGCCATGGTACCCACATTGTCCTCAGGTTATGCTGACTGTGTGGGGTACATGGAACCCTCCCCACAACTCTTTCTCCAGTACACTGACAACATCACTGGTGCTGCTTCCCTTTCTTCCGGAATTGGAAAAATTAATCAATTCCACTTCCAATTTCCTCCCTGCTCTCACCTTCAGCTGGTCTATCTCTGACTCTTCCTTTCCTTTCCTCAACATTTCTGGGGATGGGCTGACCACCAATATCCATTACAAACCTACCGACTCCCGAAGTTACCCGGACTATACATCCTCACACCCTGTTTTGTGTAAAGACTCCATTCCATTCTACTAGCCTCTCTATTTCTGTCACATCTGTTCTGATGACACTACCTTCTGCCTCAGGAAACCGAGGATTCTCCAGCACCATAGTTGACAGGGCTCTCAGCCGTGTCCAACCCATTTCCTGCACTTCTGCCCTCACCCTTTCACTTCCCTCCCATAACAGTGATAGGGCCCCCTTGGTCCTCCCTTACCACCCCACCAGCATCCACATCCATCTTCGACACACATCCCAGCCTTTTCCTAGCTACTTCTGGTCTGAAGAAGGGTCACTGAAATGTTAACTCTGCTTTCTCTCCAGAGATGCTGCTAGACCTTGAGTTTCTCCAGTAATTTGTTTCAGTTTCAGATCTCCAGCATCTGCAATTCTTGGGTTTTGCACAAAACATTGTATGATTTTAAGAGTGAGTTGGATACAGCACTCAGGGCTAAAGGGATCAAAAGATATAGGGAACAATGGGAATAGGCTATCATGTTGAACGATCAGCTATAATCATAATGAATGGCAGCACAGGCTTGAAGGGCCAAATGGCCGACTCCTGGTCCTTTTTTTGTTTTTATCCAGTCCACATCCCATGCAAAAGCTACTCTCAATACGATAGATCCACTAACAGCACAAAATGAAGTAATTCCACAAAGTTCAACAAAACATTGAAAAGCTACCCTATTGGTTCCACAAAACCAGATCTGAAATTCAAAAATACAACTATCAAAGTTTAAAGACTTCATATTCTCGATCTTTCCTCAGTAGAATACACATTTGCTTCTTCCTCAAACTTTTCATCTCCTAGTCCCTGCTGAAAATACTTCAATTCTGAAGCAATAATAAGGATCTTACCTCTCAATTCCTCCATGATAGGCTGGATGGTGTCAGACCATTGATGAGAGCTTATCACAGTGTAAATGCCAGGAAAGTCCCTTTGCCAGATACGCTGTCCCACAGACCAAATTGCACCAAGCTCAGGATTAGCCTGCAACATAGCAAAGGACAAAAATAAACATCAAGACAACAAATTGTGCAGCGATTTGTTGGCAAATGTGGGGCAATAAGTTGGCCTGAAACCTGGTCAAGTTGCGGAGGCATTTGAGATTGACAGTATTGCATGAAGCCAATCCGTAAGCCCAAATGGAAGATAGCTTATGAAGTAGCAGATACTGTGACATTACAGATGAATTAAAACCACCACATTTTATACAAAGGCTCCTCTCACCAATTCAGGAAGGGTACTTTGACAGTACGACGATTCTAAGTTAATGCTCAATTAGAAGTGATAAGCTTTATTATTCCCATTACCAGAAAAAGGGTTACTGCGGCAGTTAATTCTTTCTGGCATCCCACAGTGGCTCAGATAGCTACAGAAAAGAATAACTGACTCTTCAAAGTCAGATCTGAAGCTCTACATATAAGCCTTGATTTTTGTTCCCAAGGCAGTTAGCGCCAATTAAGAAATTCCGTGGTTTACTGTAGAAACATCTCAGAATCGTAGGACCTTTGTTCTTCACTTCTGGGGGAAAGCTGTTGGAGTCATATCTTTAACCCCCAATGTAGATTAGATGTGACCTCAAGGACAGCCAAGTATTAAACATTAAGATAGTTTAATAGGCCCGACAAGGATCTCTGGGACTTTCTATATGAACATATGAATTAGGAGTAGACTACTCAACCTCCTCAAGCCTGCTTTGCCATTCAATTAGATCATGGTTGATCTGAATACTCCACATTCCTGCCTAATCCACTAACTTTTCACCCTTTGCTTATCAAGAACCTATCTCTGCCTCAACAATATTCAAAAATATTGCTTCCACTGCCTTTTGAGGAAGCCAGTTCTAAAAGCTCATGACCCCCAGAGAAAAAGTTGCTCCTCATCTCTATCTTAAAAGAGCAACCTCTTACTCTGAAACAATGACATCTAGTTCTAAGTTCTTCCACAAAAGGAAACACCCTTTCCAAATTCACCCTGTCAAGACCCCTCCAGACCTCAACCAATTCACCTCTTACTTTTCTAAGTTATTGACAGACACAAGCCTAACCTTCCCTCATAAACCAACCTACCCATTCAACGAATGAGTCTAGTAAACCCTCCCTGAACTCCTTCCAATGTATTTACATCTTTCCATAAATAGGATGACCAGTACAATGCACATTTGATATTTTAAAAATCTCAGTAAGGAGCCAAAACCAACTTAACCAATTTCTTTCTAATTCATAGAGTTTGAGTTTACCATACTGCATCTCTGTTTTACAGTAAGGATTAACCCTGCTACTTTTTCCTGCCCGGACTCTTTTCTACAATATTTCTTTAAGGCATAATCAGCATCATTAAAAATGTTCCTATCAGTGAGAGTGCAAGCCCCCATTAATCTTTTGCTCTCTCATAATCATTTTGGCACGTTATTCAGACATTGTTCCCAAGATAGTACAACAGCCCTGAAACACTTTATTGGTCCCAAAGAATTAACTTTATATTCATGGAATGTCAAATTTTTTACACAATGATCAAACAGTCCACATTTTTTCTGAGTTGCGTTTTTTTTTTAAAAACAACGTATATATTTTACTTTGGCCTCTATCTTGATATCGAAATTTTCTTCATAGCTTGAAATTTAAATTCAATCTGAATGATTTAAAGTACTTTTAACTTCACACTTTATTGCATGAACACTGCGTTTTCACTTGTCGACATTCCTGCTGCTGCTCCTTACGTTTATGTCAAATTTAAACAGCCATGGAGAAAAGAGAAAATTCCAATTGTACAGGTCACTGAATCCTTGAGATCAGCAATTAGCACTTTTGTTTTGTCACTGACTGTAAAATCCAAAGTACAATGCATTTAAACATACTGGCAAACCTCCATTGAGTAAGTTTCAGTAAGGATATTATGCTATGGAATGCACTACATTGTGTCAACATTAGAAAATAGGAGACAATCATACAGTCCCTCAAGTCTCCATTACCATTCAATACAATGACTGCTAATCTTGCACCTCAGCACCAATTTCCCACTTGGTCCCCCGAACCTTCAATAGCCTGTGAGGCAAAATTAAATCTGTCTATCTCTGCCTTCAATGTATTCAACGTTAGAGCATTCACAACCCTCTGGAAGGCAGAATAATAAAAATTCACAACCATCTAGTTGAAAAGCAGTCTCCTCTCAATCCCTAATGATCAGCTCCTTATCCTAAGTCGTGCCCTGTGTTCATGACTACCCAGCCAGGGGGAAAGCCTCTGCATGTTTCAATGAGATCATCCCTCATTTGTCAAAACTCCACAAAGAATGGTCCCGATTTATTCAGCCCTCTCATCATAGCATGCCGCTCCCATTTCAGGAATCAATCTCCTGTTCCTTCGCTAAACCACTGCCAAGGCAAGTATATCCTTCCTTAGGTGTGAAGAACAAAATTGCAAATGTTTAAAATGAATAGAAATAGAACTAGGCAGCAATATAAAAAGACGGTAAGAGGAATTTCATGTAGATGAAAAGGAGAATAGTCAAAATAAACATTGTTGCCTTAGATGTGGGAGAAGTTAATGTGAGAAATCAGGAAATCGCAATGACACTGAATGAATATTTTTGCCTGTCTTCACTGCAGAACATAAATTACATATCAGGTGTGGTCTTACTAAAACCCTGTAACAATTCTAGATGAGGAAATTAGCAATGGACAGCAAATGCTGGCCTTTTCAATAATGGTCATATCCCATTAATAGGAACTTAAAAAGTGTCTTTAATCTTGTATTCCAATCCTCTGGCAATAAAGACTGACATACCATTAACTTGCCTTCCTAATTGCTTGCTTACCTGAATGCTACCTTTGTATGCTCCTTGTAGAAAAAGTCTCTCTGAATGTCAACATTTACAAGTTGCATACCTTTTAAAAGAAGATATTCTGGTTTTCTATTGCATTTAAATAAACTACAAAGAAAAACAAATCAGATTGGGTAGTCTCTAGTGGGGTACTAAGTGAACAACCTCATATTCCAACATTACAATCCATGTAGAACCTTACTGTCTACTCACTTAATCTATATTCCTTTGCAGCCTCTTGTAGCTTACATTTCCACCTAGTTTTACATCATCAGTAACCTTCAGATACATTACTCTCTGCATCGGTTTACAATAGCTTGTATTGCTTCCTCAGCTGATCTTATGCATTAAATGCACATTGACTTTTGGTCAAAAAATATCCAAACTCTTTCTCCTTACAACTTGCTCCTTTCAACCTTGAAACGAGCCTTCTCATCTATTGAATGGCACACCATTGAAGATGGCTCTTCAATTCCTCACATCTGTGTATGTCAACATGCATTATCAAGGCTATCACCTCACTGGCGGACGCAATTACACCCTTTAGTACTGCAACATGGAATCATGATAGAACAGCAGACACAACCCCATTCGAACTTCGAAGTATTGAGGCTACACAGCAGACAATTGTGTAGCAGCTAATAATTCAAGACACAGGAGAACAACATGAGAGATTCAAAGAAGGTCTCTAAGCAAACTAGGCACATGTCCAAGATTAAATTTGCAAATAGAAATACTTAGCAATGTGACCACAGTTGGAAAATTAAGTGAAAAAATAGATAAACAATAATTGCTAGAATGGGCTTTCCTCTCAGATTGATCAGAACCATTGCCCTGAGAGAAGCAAAAATAATTAGGTATTGCAAATTTCAAAGCTAGCAGTGAATGGTGTAGCGTATTTATAAAGTGAGATCAATTTGTACTGCAACTGAAGACAAAGATTTCATAGCATTTCCCTGCGCAACTTGATGGCTTAGCACATTTCAGCAATTTATAATCAAATATTGATAAAGAATTAGAGATCATCCTGTATTCGGAACATGAATGAATCGCCATCAATATTGTTATCCCAGACAAATGGTGACCAAAGTTGGACAGCAAACAATGTTAGTGAAGGCAACAGCCACTAAGAACGGATTTACTGTTGCACAATCATGTATATCCTATCAAAAGAAATCAATGGTGATACTCAAGAGAAAAAAAACACACAAAATAGCAATTCTCTAAAGTGCATGTTCATACGCCAGCACAGTGGCTCAGTGGTTGGCACTGCTGCCTCACAGCACCAAGACCCCGGGTTCAATTCCAGTTTTGGGCATTTGTCTGCGAGACGTTTTATGTTCTGCCCATGTCTGCATACGTATCCACCAGTTGCTCCCATTTCCTCCCACAGTCCAAAGATGTGCAGATTAGGTGGATTGGCCATGCTAAATTATCCCGTAGTGCTCAAATTGCTCCAATACTTTTTCTCTGCTGATAAAACTACCTTAATTACTCACTCTTATTAGCTTGCAGGTTATGCTTTATTTTGGATACAGCGTTTGTTTTTCACATTCAATATCTTTGCCATTTCCTCATTGCCCATGGGAATTTCACCTCTCTCTTCCTCTAAGGGACTCATGCCTAGTCTTATTTTTATACATTGATAAATGATCCTACAAACCATTTTTATGTTCTTGTTGATTTACACCATATTCTACTTTTTTCACACTTTTTATCAAAGCCATTAATGGACAAATGATTGTTGATGTCAAATTTTGTTTTCATTTCACAGTATTGAGATTTAGGTAGTACTACAACAGGACCTGAGTACTGGCTAAACGAAAAGACAAAGAGAGTCTATAGTGTTACAGAAGTGAAGGTGATATACTTGGTTTTTTCCAACGCCTTTGAAGGTGAGAATGAGAGAGAACTACAGGATTACCCCAAGATCCAGGAGTGCTGAGTAGTGGGGATCAATGGTCTAGGATGATTACCCATAATATAGCTGCAGCAAAGAGCTCCAGGATTTGGCAGGACTGGAAAGGATATTGTGGACATATAGAATCATGAGACGTAAAAAATAGCTGAAAAACACAAATGTACTAGGGGATGATCATTGATACATGTCATCTGTGAGCAAGGTATAGGCCCTTCAGAGATCTGGAAGCTCCAGTAGGGATCCAGCGATCGGGAATCCTGGGCATGGATGCGATGCCAATATAACTCCAGTATTTGTCTGGATCAGTTGGCATACTCTTAAGATCAACATCTTGTATGGCACAATTGAGTTTGTGGCAGTAAGTAGTGGGAGCAGTGAGTTGTGTCTGCCTTGGGCAGGAGCAGATTTTAAGAATGAAGTATCACGAGTAGAGACAGGTCAGGAATCATTCCACAATACACTACATAGAGGGCACACCGACGGTATAAAGACTTTAACAATGAAATACAAGGACTGAATCTTTAGAACTCACTGCCACAGAAGGCTGTGGAGGCCAAGTCATTGAATACATTTAAGACAGAAATATATAGATTCTTGATTAGTAAGGAGATTAAGGGTTACCAGGAGAAGGCAGGAGAACAGAGTTGAGAAACACAACAGCCATAATCAAATGGCAGAGTAGGCTGAATGGTTTAACTCTGTTCCTTCATTTTATGATTTTATGACACCTCAGTTAAAAGTGTTTTCATGAAAACTCATCTGCATCAGGGCGAGGTACCACATCTAGATATATATATCAGCTTTAAGGTGGTGCCACAGATATTAAAGGTTCTGTGATGCTTTGCTTTGTCACAAATGCCCTCACTGTACCACAAGCTGTCATGTGTCCCACATACTACAGTACTAATCCCACCATTACTAGACTTATTTCCCCCCATTACTTTTCGTTATTGAGTGACAATAGACTACGGTCAACATTACTGAAAACTGAGTGATTTGGTTGGTTCAGATATTGCTTTGCTTGCACACTTTAGGTGCTTTACTCAGAAATGATTGAATATGAAATTTGAGTAGATGAAACATCAATCAGGAGAAATAAAGAGAGATGGGATGGAAAATACAGGAATAAATAGAATGTGCACCGCATGGTATCATTCTTTGTAACGGTTCAAACAAAATATAAATGCACTTTCAAGCTAAAATAATAAATGCTATAACTCAAGGCAAAACATTAAAAGATGTAAAGAATACAATACTGAACAATCCAATTGAGAGATTTCCGGTTAACACCTTAGGTTTAACATGTTGCAAAGGCAACTCTGTTTTGGATGAAACGAGGGATTTCTAAACAACTCGATACAATCCCACAGGGGTTATATCACAGAAATATTAATTCCAAGGATCAGGCTATTGAGAAAGAAGCACAAGTTGAAACCCCACCACAGTAGCCGGGGTTTTTAAATCCAATTAATGAAATAAAACTGGAACAAAAATCTAGTATCAATAATGCTGTCCAACTATGAATTGTTGTAAAAACCCAACTGATACACTCAGGTATTTTTAGGAACATCTGATGTCCTTACCTCATCTAGGCAAATTGCAACTTCAGGTGTACAGTAATACGGCTAATTCATAACTGACCTCTGAAATGACCTAGTAAGCCATTGAGTTATATTCAACGTGGTGGCTCATCACTATTTCCTCAACACAGGGCAGTGCGATGGCTCAGTGGTTAGCACTGCTGCCTCACAGCGCCAGGGACCTGGGTTTGATTCTACCCTTGGGCAACTGTCTGTTTGGAGTTTGCACATTCTCTCCGTGTCTGCGTGGATTTCCTCTGGGTGCTCCGGTTTCCTCCCACAGTCCAAAGAGGTGCAGGCTAGGTGGATTGGCCACGCTGAATTGCTCGTAGTGTTCAGGGATGTGTAGATTAGGTGGGTTATAGGGGGATGGGGCTGAGTGGGATGCTCTGAGAGTCGGTGTGGATTTGTTGGGCCGAAGGGCCCACTTCCAAGCTATATGGATTCCACAGATTCTAATGACTGGCCTTACCAGAAGGAACTACATCCCTCAAGTGGATATAATTATCCATTGTCATTCCCTCCAACATATGCAACACCCAAATCAACTCTCAGCATCTCATGCTTCTGAAGAAAATGATAACAGAAAGCAATGTTCTTAAAACCATTTACTCACAGTTTTGATGGCTTGAGGTATTCTCTTCCAGAGGTACCGTGCGGTATTCCTGCAACAATTAATGGAAACACAATTTCTTCGGATGTAAGAATTTCAGTCATTAGAGATTATCTGAATATCCAAATTAGATAACCAAATGCATAGTTATTTTCATTTTGGTTTAAAAGGCATTCCAGATATAGAAGCAGAACAAGATCAGCAGCTGGGATAGAAACACTGAAGATTACACATGTACTCTGAGCCATTTACAGTTCTGTACTGAACGCACGACCCTAAGAAGCCATTCTAGAAGGGCCTATTGCTACTTTAGATGGACTCTTTCAAGATAAGAAATGAAATTCCATAATGACAGACAAAGAGCTGGAATCCATGTCAATTTGGTGAAAAGTAAATTACTAATATAGAGCTTTGCAGACTTCAATTTCCAAAAACTAACAGTATAAAAATTGAATTCACAGAAAACAACCATATTCTCTAAAAATATTGAAGTACTTCTTTTCCTGGTCAGATTAGCAAAGATTGGGCTATTCCCCTTGAAGGAGGTCAAGAGGCGACTGGATAGGTGTTTGTACTCTTGAGCGATCTGGACGCAATAGATAGTAAGGAGAAACTGTTCCCATTGGTGGAAGGGTCAACAGCAAGGGAACACTTTTTGTAATAACAAAAGCAACAGGAGGAACAAAAGACTTTTTCACATAATGGGTGCTTAGGATCTAAAATACAATGCCTCAAGAGTTTGGTCAAGACACATTCAAATATAACTTTTAAAAGAAAGTTGGGTTATAGTTATCTGAAGGTTAAGAGAAAACAACTACAGGGGTATATGGAAAGGGCAGGGGAGTGGCACCAGTTGAATTATTCCTATAGACATCCCGTTACTCACTTCTTCCATGATCTTCTGAGGCGGTCTGTCACAAAAATGCACAGCATCCCTTGGGGAATTAGGTTAAGTGCAGGAGAGTCAAGGCATGCCTCCTTTTGTACCATGAGCTGCCATGTGGCTACAAGGTCCAGTCTTAATGTTTAAGTGGGAGAATTGATAAATAGGTGACTGGTTGAATGGGCAAGACCAGTGGGGCCAAAGCAGTGGAAGTAGGCTGAGAAGAATGGTTTAATGGGAAATGGGGCATTAATGGTGCTTGTGTGAATGAGGTTCAGCAGATCAGTAGCTGCAGAAATATAGTCATAAATGAACAGCCAAGGGCTAGACAAACAAAAATCTGGCGTGCAGAACAAACCGAACTGGGGGAAAGCATTTCTCTTGAGGCAGAAACAGCAGCAAGTAAGGTTTGGAGGCAGATACAGATTACATTTGAGGGCAATACAAAAAATATTCAGAGATGGCCTTATCTGTAACTGTGACTTGGAGTAGTGAGGCCATGAGGTAGTAAGGTCAAGCTGATGGCTGAGTGTAGGTTGGGAAGTTTACATGAAAGAGAGATTAAGTAGTAGGGCAGAGAGCAAATAGAAGATGACAAGTTGAGATGGTGTTTAAAAATACAGAGGCTGAGGGAGGAAGCAATGAAGATAACTTGTGGAGTAAATACAGGCGGCACTTCGCCGAGAAGATTTCAAAACCTGTTAAAGCTAAGAGTTAGTTGCAGATCTCAATTTCATCTTCTTTAATGCAATCAACATTATCTCAAATTATACAGCAGACCTATGAGGTAATGGAGTGTTCTGAGCCAATAACAGAATATGGTTAGAATACAGATGGAACTCATCTAAACTATTGTTACTGGGCAAGCGCTCAACAGAGCAACTCACTTAGCCTTTATCCTGCCTTTTCCCCACAACCTTACCAATGTGTTTTCATACTGATATTCATGCAATTATCCACTCTTTCAAGTTCCAGGCAGCTTCATGTTATAAATGGAGTTTATGCTGTATAACGTTTCAGTGACCTTTTTTGTGGATCAATCAGGAGAGTGGAACAAAAACAAAGCTGCTGGAAAAGCTCAGCAGGTGTGGCAGCATCTGTGAAGGAGAAAACAAAGTTAACATTTCGGATCCGGTCACCCTTCCTCAGAACTGAGAAAGGGTGACCGGATCCAAAATGTTAACTTTGTATCACAGATACTGCCAGACCTGCTGAGCTTTTCCAGCAACTTTGTTTTTGTTCCTGATTTACAGCATCCGCAATTCTTTCGGTTTTTAATCAGGAGAGTGGCTTCCTTAAGATATTGAAAGAGTACTTTGAAATTAATTATAGTGCAAACACAATTCGTGGTGACAGCTAAAGTATTAAAATGCAGATGTTTTCTGTGCATGTGGGGGTGGACGCACAAATTTTCCCAAAGCTTCAGACAAACAACAGATTTCCCAAAAGCCTCATCTGTAAATATTTACTTGTACAGACTTTTCTACACCAATAAAGCCATATTTTCCAGTATACAATATGAACATAAATCAAAGGTTTCCACCCACTCCCCTCAGTCCTGAGACGCCCTCATTAGGATTCAGGCAGCTTTACTAAGTCTCCATTTTCTAATGTATAAGTGAACAATAAATATATTTTTCCATTTGGCATGTCAGCAGAGTTTTATTTTGCTGGAAACCATTTAATATCAATATAATCTCAGCACAAATTAGTAAACTGTAAAATGGAAAAAGTTCATCAAAAATTATGCAAGAAAGGTTACTGACTCAGTTTCAGGACTTGTTATCTTTCATTGAGATCAAAGTTACCCTGGGGGTTTCAGACTGACCTTTGCCAGTTCAGAATCTTACAGCTTTTTTTAAACATTGTACAATTGTGGAACATTTTAGAAAATCTAATCACAGTATTGCAAGAGCCAATATTACTATTATTGTTAATAAAACAATCTCATGTCTTTTGGCCAGACTTGTAACGAAAGCCTGGATGAGGTTCAACATCAAAACATTATCTAACAAACACAAAAGGTCAATGAACTCTTAAATGCAGTTGGCCAATCCTAGAAAATTTCCTACCTGGCATGGAGTTAAAATTTGGGAATGGATTTGGAATTTTGTTTAATTAACGATCTTGAGGGGTCAGGGAAAGGATTCAAAACAGAAAGGAGTACAGCTTGGTCAGGATTAATGAAATAATATTTGGAAGAAATTTACAGTTCCAAGGACGGTTTGATCTTGCGTAAGTACAAAATACCATTCACCAGGTATTATTTGTCTAATTTGATGGAGTAAGAAGAACATGTAACACCAGCCACTGAAAGATTCCTCCAAAGTAACACTTTACAAGGGAAAAGGGTGAAAGGTCAAAATCTCAGGCTACACGGGAAGGTATCATTCTCCTTCATAAGGAAAACTGTAATAGAAATCCTACTCTCTCAAATGATTGGCACCATCGACAACAGCTCAGCTGAATTGAGCAGTGATTTTATTTTTCATATACCAATGGGGTTTTTGTAGCCAGGAATACCAAAGAAATGTAAACAGAATAGAACAGTGTATATCTAAATGCTTTAAAAACTTTAGCCAAGAGGATCTCTGATAATATCTAGCCCATTGCATAATGGACATCTGCAGTTGTTTGTATACATCTGGTCTACAAACAGCAACATCTCAGTCTCCTTGAAAGAACAATTAAGACTAGCCTTTGACAAACAACTACAACTATAACTACACACAAACTATGCAAATCATGTGCTAGACTCAAGTCATCAACTTCACAACAAACACCAATTACTGCTGCTAGCATCAGTAATTAAAATGCTTGTATAAAAAACAAGAATTTGAAACACTGCAACATTGAAAACCAAGGTGTAATTGTTCTCCTTTCTGTGCAATCAGGTACCAAAATTTGACATACCTGAAAATTCCAATTTGGCTTTTGGGGACTGGACACCAATTACAATTATGCAAGGCTGACTATCAATTCTATATACTTTCAAAATGATGCAAGTTCAAAATCCAAACAATAATGTTCTTGGAACATTGTGGTACCAGGGTGTTAAGTATTATTGATACAGTTTAGAATTTACCTTTAAACATCTCAATACAATTACTTGCCTTTGGAGTGGATCATAGTTGTGTAGGTAAACTCAGCTGTCATTAAACATTAAAATCCTGCAGCTCCAAAGAAATTAATGTTTGCAAGCTTTGGTGGAGGACCTATGTCCATTTGCTACAATAACTTTAACATGGTAAAATGTGGCATACAGAAAATATTGAAATCAGAAATATTAGAAAAGACAGCTGAAGCAATGGGTGATAAGAGCAGTTTTAAAGGAGAACAATGAGTGCAGTCTTTCTAAAAGATGACTCATTATCACCTTCTCAAAGGTAACTGGGAATAGCAACAAATGTTGGCCTAATAGTGATGCTCACATCCCATGAGATATTTTTTAAAAAAAATGGCAATGGATTTATTTTTAGCATCAACATGAATGTCGAATGGAAAAACAATTCAATTAGACTCATAAATGTTAATGATGACGAATATGCTGCTCCCATCTCGAAGTGTCACAACTAAATGACCTATTGACCATCACTACTATTGGTTTTGCTTGCTGGTAATATCTTTGTGCCATATAACACTATAAATAAGGACTGATCGCTGAATTACACAGCCCAAATTTAAAAAGAAAAACCTTACAATTCATGGTTAAATACAATGTGCAATTAGATACAATGCAAAATATTTTCACTAATCATATTTTACCGAAATCTTAATAGCGCCAAATCTTGCTCAAGCATTTACTCTTAATGGATACATATAGAAGTTATACAGATTTGGCGTGGTATTACCTCTTCACTCAATACTCACATATCGTTATGTAGGAGATATAAAGCAAGCAGTTGACCATAAACTTGTGGTGTTGCTATTCCACCGGGAGCCTGCAAATTCAAGGTAAAATGCATGTTAGAACAACACAAAAGTTTTAAAATCTAACAAGAAATTGTTAGTTCCATGAAGCTCACCTGGATCATCAGCATGGAGGTGCTGCATTTTACGTTCTGAAGGTTGATCAAATCTCTCAATCATTCTTCTAACTTAGCTTCCCCGCTACTGTAAATTATCCAACATTTTGCCAAGTACCCAAAGCAAAAAAAGTTACTCATCTACGAACACATTTTATACTGTATTTGCTCCTCCCTTGTTGAGTTAGGGGTTAATTCTCATTTTAAGCTAGATACTAGAATGGTAAAAGCTATTATTATAACACAGCCTCTGGGGGCAACAGTAAAAGAGACAGCGTAGCATCCAACATCTACAGACAAACCACTGCTCATAGTAACTCAAAGTAATCTCTAGCAAAACCACCAAGTCACAGATTCTCACCCTCCCCATGCAGCTTTCAGATTGTGGACCTGGAAAACCTCATCTTAACATTTGGGCATTCTTGCAGTCTAAAAGGAAGGCTTAATGCAGCAATTCTTAATATTAGTATTTGCACTAGGAAGGAAATAGAAATGGGGTGATGACCATGTGAAGTTACAACACAGAACTACATTAATTCCAATAAGTGGAAGCAGCATGCTATAGGGAGGGCCAAGTGAGGCCACAGACAATGGATCATGTCCGAGCTCTGTAACACTGCCACGCTTAGTGATGAATGGTGGCAGACAATTAAATAAATAAAAGGAGAAGGGTTACCTGCAAACATCACCATCCTCAATAGATGGAATTCAGCAAGTGAGTGCAAAAGATTGACGCATGGTTTGCGACTGCAAGAAATCCCAAACAGATGATCCATTTTGGCCTTAAGATCAGGAAAATGACAAAGCACTGGATGCAGCAAACATTATGGCCCAACTACATCCTGGCTATAGTGAAAACCACACAAATGACACCTCAAGCCACATAGTTGCCGTACAGCTACAACACCGACATTTGTTCAACTATGTGGAAAATCGTTCAGGTATATCTGGAGAAAAAGAATCCGATCCCATCAACTACTGCTCAATTAGCCTACTCTCAATCAACAGCACAACTTTAATCTTCACAGTTCCAATGGAAAAAAAACCCTAACTTTCTAAGTATGAAAGTTATTTCATATTTAGAAGAACTATTTTTCAAGATAATGAATGCAGTTTAAAATGTTTGAGCCAATCAGCTTTGGTTAGCACAGGAAGCCATCATTCAGCCTGGTTCTCTGCAAACATTGTGCCACAGTCACTTCTGTGCTATTGCCCTATAGCCCTGCAAGTTTTTCTATTTCAGATAATGAGCTAATTCCTTTTCAAATGCTTGATGGAATCACCCTCCACAGCTGCTTTCACCAGTTGTCTTAAAACGTGGTTCCTAATCCTTTCAATGGGTTTCCATCCAGTCCTCTGATGATTTTCAATATAACCACCAAATCTCATTTCAAACCTATCTTCTAGAAAGAGAACAATCCTAGATTCCCCAACCTCTCCATGTAACTGAAGTTCTTCATTCCTGGAACCATTCTCATGAATATCCTCTCTTAATTCTTCATTTCCTCAAAGAATGCACAGTCCAAACTTTCTATAATACTCCTATTGAGGCTTAACCAGTGTCTCATACATAACTTTCTTACTTTTGAATTATTTCCCTGATTTAAAGAGATCCAGCGACCTGCTTGCTTTATTAACTGCCCTGTCACTACAATGATTTGTGAACATGTGCCTGAGAGTGCCTCTATTCCTGGAACTCCTTTAGAATTGTACCCTTCATTTTATATTCCCTTTTACATTCACCCTGCCAGACTTCATTCTTCTTTTGGTTAAATTTCACGTGCCACTTGTCCACCCATTCTAACCTGTTTGCGATCAATTGAAATTCACAGATTTTATGTCTTGAAATTGTGTTCTGTACAGCAAAGTCTATATATCAGCAAGAGCAATGGTCCAACAGTGACCCCTGGGGAACTGCACTACAGATGCACAAATCAAATCTTGCACCATTTATCAGAAAACAAAACTGGAACATATTTATTCAAACCCAGGAAAACCATCTGGTATAATTGTAAAGCACTGTAGGCTAATGACCATGGCATTGATCTAATTTGTTGTCAGCAAACTTGTAAATGCAGTTGGCGCGGAATTTGACAACAAATTGTGTGTGTGTGTGTGTATGCGTGTGCGCGCGTGCATATGTGTGTGCGCGCGTGCATATGTGTGTATACAAAGTATAGCAGAGGACTCAGTACGCAGTCTTGTGGGGCACCGGTGTTAAGGATTATCGTGGAGGAGGTGTGCCACCTATCCTTACTGACTGTGCTCTGTTGGTCAGGAAGTAGAGATTCCAGCTGCGGGAGGTGGGGGAGCAGAGAACTAGGTCTTGGAGTTTGGTGATGACTTCCTATTCCCTACATCAAGGCAACCTGCTTAAAATGAGATATGATCAATCAAAAGATGTCTGTCTAGTTTTCAAACTATGATGATCACTCAGTTTTTAAGTGTATACCAACTTCTTAGGAGCTCTTTTTGACTGTGTTCATTGAAGTTAGATTCTCTGGGTTGGATAAACTGAATAACTTTCCTCACATGAAAGGTACAGTGATAACCACCTTATATAGCTGCATGTTAATAAATAAGACTTTTTTTAATGCAACTCCAACCCATATTTTAGGAGGGGAAATGTCTAAGAGAAATGAAAGCTTATTAAATCCAGGAAAACTGCCTCTTTTGACAAAAGTACATTCCACAGCAAAGTTAATTTTTCTCCTGTATCTTTTTGCAGCTTCTTTATGTTCTCCCTCAGCTTACATTCCACCTAGCTTTTAATCATCAGCAAGTTCGGCGACATTACTTTCGGTCTCTTTCCCCAAGTAATATAAATCATAAATAGCTGATACCCTAACAATGATCCTTGTGACACACTGCAAATCACAACCTGTTCAAGTGAGAATGGTCGACTTATTGCTACTCTGCTTCTTGTATGTTAAAGAACCCTCTAGCCATGCTAATGCATTGCCCCTAACTCCACACACTCTTGCCTTGTATATTTGCTATTTGTCTGGCCACTATCCTCCTTGAGTTATCCTATTGGTTACGTCCTCAGAATGTTCGGATAATTCTGTTAATCATGATTTCCTTTTCACAAAACTACGGTGACTTTGGTCATATCATGATTTTAGAAAATTAAGGCTTTTGTAAGAACAGATTTGCTGTCTCCACAATCACTGATGCTAGGCTAACTGGACTCACCACGTTAACACAGTGGCAACAACAGCAGGTCAGACACTAAGAATACTGCAGCAAGTAACATACCTCCTGACTCACCACTGTCTTCGAGGCACAAGTCAGGAGTGTGATGGAATACTCCCCCTTTGTCTGGATGAGTGTAGTTCCAGCAATACTCAAGAAGCTTGACACCATCCATGACTAAGCGAACCGCTTGATTGGCCCCACACTCTCAAGCATTCACTCCTTCCACCATCGGTGCTCAGCAGCTGTGTGTACTATCTACAAGATGAACTGCAGAAATTTACCAAAGATCCTGAGAAAACACCTTTTAAACCAACAACCACTTCTATCTAGAAGGACAAAGGTAGCAGATACATGGAGACACCACCACCTGCAAGTTCCCCTCCAAGCCTCTCACCATCCTGACTCGGAAATATAATTGCTGTTCCTTCACTGTTGCTGGGTCAAAATCCTAGAAATCCCTCTCAGGGCATTCTGGGTCAACCTACAGCACGGACTGCAGTAGTTCAAAAGGGCAGCTCACCACCTCCTTTTAATGGCAATTAGGGACAGGCAATAAAATGCTGGCCAGTGAGATATGTCCACTTCCTACAAATAAATTTCAAAATGCCATGTGTTTTGTTTTTTCTCTCTCGCTTTCTTGAACAGCAATGTTACATTGGCTAACTTAGTCTACTAGGATCATTCCAGTATTTAAGTAATTTTTAACAAGAACTACTATTTATAGAACACAAAAAAGTTACAGGCATATAATCAATGCACTTTTCTTTCACTCCTACAGACTTGAACTCAAAATAAACTTTAAAACAGCTTTTTGAAAATATATGTCTAATATTGCATCAAAAATTTAAAAGCATTAAGAACATGTTTAAGAACAAAGGTAATTACTTCAGCAATTCACCTGCCATAGCCTAAGAAATGAATGATATTCAACATACCTAAACTTATTAAAGGTTTTCCCCATTCAATTTTGATTTTTTTTCCCCACATAATCACTCCCAGCCCTATTATGCTCTCTCTCCAATCTCTCTTTAATCTGTCAATCCAGCACTCTTAAATACTTAGAGAGAGATACTTAGGGTCTCCATTTTCAGATGTCCCTTCAAGTATTAACATTTTCTCCACTCTCTTGGCTCAGCTTCCCTCAAACCCCAGGCTGTCAGTGACTGATCAATATAACTGAGGGTTTTTTCTCCACTCACCTGAGTATAGTCAATTACACAGTGCCCTTTACACAGAATGTAGAGTTCCACAGCCCCAATACCTTACTGAAAATTGAGGCAGCTCATGTGAGCACTGGACTTCCAGACAACTTCTGTCTGTCCAGAACTTGAAATTGGTTCTGTGCAACAGATCCTGCCTCAAGATGTAGTGCCTCACAATGAGCCATCTCTGAAAAATGCCCCCTACCTCTGTGCCCTTAAGAACGGCACAGCAGCGCTCCCTGTATGGGCTGCTGCTGTGCACTTTTCATTTCCCCCACCTTTGTCAACCGCTTGGATATGCTTTTTACTCTCAGGTGACAGAGATAGTCAGTGGAGAGCCCTTTCCTATCGGAAATGGGATCTGGAGAACGCTGCATGCGGCAGTCTCAAACAATCTCCGTTTAATTGCATACACCAGGTGCCAGGGGAGGTGTAGTCTTTATAGCCTGGATGATTGGCGACCCTCTTGCAATGCAGTGATGGTGTCCCTACCCCTGGACTGGGAGGCCTGGGCTCAAGTCCAACCTGCTCCTGAGGTGTGTAATAACATCGCCATACAGGTTGATATATAATAGGTGAGACTGTATTTCATACTGTCAATGTTTTTCCTGCTTGCAGTCCCTTTTTGGTTCTTAAAAGGGCTACTCTTAAATTTCTGGCTGCACCCACACTCCTGATTTAAGGGCACATGTGAACGAAGGGGATGACAGGTCAGAGGGCCTCCTCATGGGTCTGCTCCTAGGCCTGGTCAAAGTGACCATTAACAGGCCCACAAGGACAATTATTGGACCTGACTGACTGCCCCCTCTTTCACAGCCATGTGTGCACTTGGGCGTCCATGACGGGAGAGCATGTGGCGTCTAACGATATGGTACAAGCTTTTAGAGACAGATGGGCACCACAGGGATGGAGTGGATCATTAACACGGGCACTGTTATTTTGATTTAGTAAGGCTCCATTAACTATTAATTTGCACTTTTCTTACAGTTCCCCATTAGGGGTTATTAAACCTAATATTGTTTGGTTTAGAAGAGTAAAAACTCTAACACACCACTGCACTCTCACATCCCAACACACACATCCTCTCTACCCACACTCACCCCACTTCAACCTGCACCCACAGCATCCCATGCGATCACTCAACACGCGCCCGCCATGTCTCGGCCCCCATCTCTCTCTCTCTCTCTCTCTCGCGCCAGGTCTCCCCTGCCTCTCTCTCGTGCCGGGTCTCCCCTGCCTCTGTCTCTCTCTCACGCCGCGTCTCCCCTGTCTCGTAGAACATAGAACAGTACAGCACAGTACAGGCCAGGCCCTTCGGCCCACGATGTTGTGCGAAACTTTTACCCTAAACCTAAGGTCTATCTAACCTCCACCCCTACCTTATACTATCATCCATATGCCTACTTAATAGCCGCTTAAATGCCCCTAATGAGGCCGACTCCACTACCTGCTCTGGCAATGCATTCCACGCCCCTACCACTTGCTGAGTGAAGAACCTATCTCTGACGTCTCCCCTGTATCTACCTCCATTCACTTTAAAACTATGTCCCCTCGTAAAAGCTACCTCCACCCTAGGAAAAAGTCTCTGACTGTCTACTCTATCTATACCTCTGATCATTTTGTACACCTCTATCAAGTCACCTCTCATCCTTCCTGTCTCTCTCTCTCTCTCACTCACTTATATATACACACACACACATATACATACGTACGTACACACACAGTCGCCCCTGTCTCTCTCTCTCTCTCTCTCTATACCGAGGTCCACGCAGTGTCCGCCTCACCTCCAGCTCCTGGATCTCACACTGCTCCAGCAGTTTGCTGAATCCCAGCGAGTTTTCCGCCATCACCGCAGTGGGCATCTTCCCGACCTCTCAGGCCGTCCTCCTCTCGTCCCCACCGCTGCTGCTGCTGCACTTCCGCTTCCGGGTCACCGGCCACAGCGACTCTGCCGGAGTCCCTTCCCTTCAGCGCCGCCCTAGCGGACGGGAGGGATAAGCGCTCCCTCTCCATCTGGCCCCAGGGCGGAGCTGTGCTTTCAGGGTCTCCCTCTGCAGCGGGACTTAGATGTGGGGGACAGCAATAGAAATTGCAGGAAATGTTCAGCAGGTCTGGCAGCATCTGTGGAGAGAAATCACATTTAACATTTCGGATCGAAAGACTCTTCCTCAGAACCTGGGGACTGCCCAGAGCACTGCAAACCCATTTCTGCTCACCAAAGAGCTTTAATGTGTATCACTGATCAACACACTTTTTAGCATCTTTTCAAATGCGAGCATTATTTTTATTAAGTCATCAACCGTGGGTATCGCTGGCTGTCCAATGTTTATTGCCCATCCCATGCTGCTGTTGAGAAGGTGGTCGTGAAGTTCCTTCTTGAACCACTGCAGTCCGTTAGACTTTATAACATTTGTTACAGCTGAGTGGCTTGCTCGGCCATTTGTAACTGAAATAACCCCACAAAAGCTGCTATCCCATTGCCAAATCAACCCTTTTTAACACGTACATAGTACATGACACTGATTAAGCTAGCACAAAGCCCATTCATAGTACTCGTAGAGAGTTCTGCTTATATCTGTCAGCCAGGGCTCCCTGGTTGGACCAGATTAACAATCACTACAGTAAGAATTGGAAACTTTGAGGATGCCAGTGTGGATCACCAAAAGGACATTGGCATTGGCAAATTGATACAGTGGACAGAAAGGTGGCACATGATTCAATATAGAGATGTGTGAGGTGATGCACTTCGATCGGAAGAACATTGAAAAGGAATATAAAGCAAGAGCACAATTCTAAAGGGGCTGCAGGAGTAGAGGGACCTGGGTGTATATATGCACAGATCATTGAAGATGGCAGGATAGGTGGATAGAGCAGTTAATGAAGCATACAGTGTTCTCACCTTAATTAATAAAGGCATAGAGTACAAGATCAAGGAGCTAATGTTGAACTTGCACAAGGCACTTATTAGACCTCAGCTGGAGGATTTATACAGCTGTGGATTTCGTACTATAAGAAAGATATGAGTGCCTTAGAAAGAGTGCAGAAGTGATTTGTAAGAATGATTGCAAGTTTGAGAAACCAAGAAGTTAGGACTGTTTTCCTTGAAGAGAATAAGGGATTTAATAGAGATCTTCAAAATCATGAGCAGACTAGATAGAGTAGATGGGGAGAAGCTGTTGCTGATAATTCCTTTTTATAATCTCAACATTAAATCTTACTGGGATCACTTGGAATCCTTGTATGCTTGTCAGAATTCTTGCTAACTCCTTAGAATTCAAGAGGGTAACTAAAGGTTTATGATCTGTCTCAACTATGAAGTCAAAACCTAGCACATAGTCCACAAACGTTTTGCAAGCCTATGTCGCAGCTAATATCTCTTTTTCTATATTGTAAACAGGCCTGTGCTTTCTATTACTTTCTATTTGAAAAACAACAGCTCCCAGTCCAGTTGAAAATACATCTGCGATGGCAATAGTTCTGGCAGTTCTGGATCATAATGAGCTAATGTATTGGGTGTGATTAACATTTTTTTTTTACATATAATTGCTGCTCCTTCCCAGCGCTTTGTATGACCTTGCTGTAACAACTGATGTTGTGACTCATTAATAACAGCTCGGTTGGGTAGGAGGTTATCTACTTGTTTCACCTTGCCCATGTGGCTCTGATGCTCTGACATGTTCCGTGAAGCTGGAAATTTCTTGATTGCTGTCATTTTTCTGTGGATCCACTCTGAAAGCAGATGTATCCACAGTATGTCCAAGAGACTTGACATATGGCTGTGAGAACTCACATTTGTTGTTGAGTGTAGGTCCTTCTTCCTATAGGCATGGGAATGCAGCTTGCTTTCTAGCAAGCTTCTGTTTGAGTGGATCCATGGGTAAGGACATCATCTACGTGACAAATGACTCCATGTAACCTTTCTAACATATTTGATATTGACCACTGGAACATTTCCAATGCTAGAATATCAAAGGTTAACCTGCCGAAACAGGAGCTCTCGAATGACGTAATGAAGTTGGTGAGCATTAAAACTCTTTATCAATGGGTAGTCGCCAAAATCCATTATTGACATCGTGTGTTTGTGAAGATGGAGTGCTTCCCCAGCTTTGTTCAACTCATCCAATTGACAGAGGATGAACTTTAATCATTGAGCAATGTAAGATCGATGCAGATTTCATTTGATTTTATGACTGGGACCGTCCCTGAGCTCCAGCCTGTTAGTTTCGTTGCAGATATCATAGTTCCTTGCTTTACCGTTGAGAAAATTCTCTGCTTAATTACCTTAGGCAAGAATGGCTGAGGTTACAAATCGATATCATACACTGTTTTCACCTTTCCCAGTCCTTGAACCAATATGACATATTTGGTTGTGTTGTGCAATTGGTGACAATTTTCATGTTTTTGTATCAGGGATAGTAAAGGTAAAGCAACATATTCCAACTGAAGATGAGATATGAATTTGAGGGGCACTTGAAGGGGTTGTTGTTCCCATGTATTTGCTGTCCTTGTCCATCAAAGTGATAGATGTTTTGGATTGTTATGACCACTAGACATTATGGTGGTTATGTTTTAAATTCAAGGTGGAAATGCAGCTCCACAATTTTTACACTGAACCTCTTGGCTTTCCGATTCCTCCGATCCATATATTAGCTGTAAGTCCGTGCGGTGCAAATGTTTTTGCTTCAAAATCTCTGTGCTTCTGGACCACATGTGAGATTTTAGTGTGTGACTAAAACCTGTGGATGCTAACAGTCTGAAATAAACACAAAGAATGCTGGAGAAACCCAGCAGGTCTGGCAGCATCTGCGGAGAGAAATAGAGTTAACGTTTCAAGTCTGGTGAGACTATACCCCAGAATACCAAGTGTCTTTTAAAATTCTGATGGAGGTAATAAATTGTTTTTCATTGGAAAAAATGCGACTCAATGTCCATGTAAGGTGTGGCATTAGATATGTGGGATGCAGCATACATCTCATCATAAGTTAGAGCATTCCATTCCTCCTTTCCCTATCTTGCCTTCGAATTTGAGTTAATGAGCCTTCCCCACACTTCACACTGCCAGGATCAAGTCCAATGCATCTGTGGAACCGTTTCGAGGAAAATTCAGTTCAGGTTTTGGCCACTAGATGACGCCATCTGACCAGTTTCAATAATCCATTACTTCTTCCTGCCCAGTCTCTGCGAAAGACCTTCCAAGGATTTTTTTTTCCATTTGTTATTTTACAAGAAAACATTGGCCGCAGATTTTTAGAAATTTCTGTCCCCCTTCCACTACTGTTTTTGCCAGAAATGCTGTAATTCCAGAGTGGATATCAGTGGATGAGGAGCAACTGCAAGGAAATTTATTTTGCCAATTATTGAAAGAACCAGGATTTTAATTCAGGAATCCAAACCCTAAAACACAATCTCATTTTGAAGTCGTCACCAACTTTGCCACCTCACATGATCCTGACATTATCATCGATAAGGAACACCTTTGCCAGAATAAACTATGTTAAATTTATGTCTTTCTGGTGGAGAGAAGTGAGCTAAATCTCCTGACTTCTTTATCTAATGAGACTTAAATCCAGAAGGAGAGAAAATAACACACAGTGAAGAGTAGAGATGTCGGTGTAGGGAGCTTCACAGCTCAGGGTGCTGGGATCATTATAATTTATAAGATGGTCAAGATTCGGAAGATTTGATTCATTTTTTACAACATCTTCTCAGAATCAGGTGGGAAAGCAATAGGGAATGAGGCAGTATTTGAGCAAGTGTGCGGTGCAAACAAAAGTGAAGTAACTTGATCGACACATCGCCCATCGCCGTAAATATCCAGTGTCGGTACCACCAGTGCATTTTGATGGTAATGTGTGCTATTTATAGGATGCACAGGTAGTCAAGTTTCCTCAGTATCACATTCTGTTATGATCCCCGAAGTGACTGAAAAACTTTTAAAAAGATACTTGAATTTTCAGAGATCAAACTGAAGCAATTACATGACAAAGATTTGCATTTTAAACCATTTAATGTAATGAACAAACAAACGAAATCATTGTGGCCTAAATATTTGTAGGCAACTAATATTCCTCAGCAGAAGGTCATATGCCCCTTTTCATTATTCAATTTAACCTTGAATTGAAGAGACAGTTTGAAACATAACCACTCTCATGTCTGGTGGTCAAAACATGCCTAAACATTGAGATAACAAGGTGTAGAGCTGGATGAACACAGCAGGCCAAGCAGCATCAGAGGAGCAGAAAGGTTGACGTTTCGGGCCTAGATCCTTCTTCAGAAATGGGGGAGGGGAAGGGGGTTCTGAAATAAATAGGGAGAGAGGGGGAGGCGGATAGAAGATGGATAGAGGAGAAGATAGGTGGTGAGGAGACAGACAGGTCAAAGAGGCGGGGATGGAGCCAGTAAAGGTGAGTGTAGGTGGGGAGTTAGGGAGGGGATAGGTCAGTCCAGGGAGGACGGACAGGTCAAGGGGGTGGGATGAGGTTAGTAGGTAGGAAATGGGTGTGCAGCTTGAGGTGGGAGGAGGGGATATGTGGGAGGAAGGACAGGTTAGGGAGGCGGGGATGAGCTGGGCTGGTTTTGGAATGCGGTAGGGGGAGTGGAGATTTTGAAGCTTGTGAAGTCCACATTGATACCATTGGGCTGCATTTCAGAATCCCCTTCCCCTCCCCCATTTCTGAAGAAGGGTCTAGACCTGAAACGTCAGCTTTCCTGCTCCTCTGATGCTGCTTGGCCTGCTGTGTTCATCCAGCTCTACACCTTGTTATCTCAGATTCTCCAGCATCTGCAGTTCCTACTATCTCTCATGCCTGAACATTGACCACTTTGATGGACAAGGGCAGCAAATGCGTGGGAATACCAACTCTTCCATATGTCCCTCCAAGTCATATATCATGTTGAGTTGCTGTTTCCTTTTCTTTGAAATGA